AGACCCATATATTGGTTGCCTCCTGCGGGGAACCTGCAACCCAGGTACATGATCAGACTTGAACCCAAGACCCTTCGGCCAACACTCTAACCACTGAGCACTCCGGCCAGGGTTTTTTTGTTGCTGTTGTTTTGCTTGTTTGTTTTTAACGCTGTGGCTGCTTTTGTGCCACAAGGCAGAGTTGAGTATGTGAGAGACCATATGGCCTTTGAAACCAGAATGACTTACTATTGGGCCCTTACAGAATGTTTGCTGACCCCTGGCTTGAGCCATCAGCAGATCATCTAGACCTCAACTTCCCTCTCCATCAATCCAGAGGGTTCCCCACTTTAAGAGATGTCTAGGACATGCCCCCCCACCCGACCACTCCATCCTTCCCCAGCCAACGTACTTGTAAGGAGAACACTGCTTCCATTTTCCATCTGCATCGTAATTACTGGTCAGCGAGCACCACGTCCTATTGAAAATGTAGCCTACCTTGGTGCACGTCTGAAAGAGTCTACTCCTGAAGCGGAAGGGGAAGGTACACATGGGGGGGTCTGCAGAGAGAGGGAGAAGCAGGAGGAGAAACATGAACATAGAGAGTCTCAAGGTTGCCTGGACCAGTGCTCAGTGGTTAGAGCGTTAGCCTGCAGACCAAAGGCTCACGGGTTCGATTCCTGATCAAGGGCACAGACCTCGGTTCCAGGCTGTGTGCGGGAGGCAACCCATGGATGTGTGTCTCTCACATCAATGTTTCTCTCTCCCCCTCCTCTCTCCCCTCCACTTTCTCTAAAAAAAATCAATGGAAAGCCCTAGCTGGTTTGGTTCAGAAGATAGAGCGTCAGCCTGTGGACTGAAGGGTCCAGGGTTTGATTCCAGTCAAGGGCGCATGCCCGGGTTGCAGAATCGATCCCCAGTAGGGGGCATGCAGGAGGCAGCTGATCAATTAGTCTCTCTCATCATTGATGTTACTATCTCTCTCCCTCTCCCTGAAATCAATAAAAATATTTTTTTCAAAAAAACACGTGTTTCTCTTTTTAACAAATCAATGAAAAAAAATATCTTCAGGTGCGGATTAAGAAATCCTATCTAATAATAGAGAAACATGGTAATTAACTGTAACTTCGCTACCCTTTTCTTTGGCTAATCAGGGCAATATGCAAATGACCTGCCAACCAAGATGGTGGTTAACCACCAACAAAGATGGCGGCTAGTTTGCATAAAGCAGGCAGGGTAGGACAGCGCAAGCCGCCATCCAGGCCTCCCTGTGCTACCAGCGATAAGGCAAGCGGTGCTAATCACCTTGCTGGAGCCCTCTCCTGCCCATCAGAGACAGGGGTCCCACTCCCGAGTGCTATTTGGGGGTGGGCAGGGGCTGGGGGAAGGCAAGCAGTGCAGATCGCCTCAACTGAGACCTCATCCGCCACTGGAGACAAGTCCCAATGCGATCTGGGGGCGGCAGTGGCTGGAGCAAGGCAGCAGTGCGGATCACCTTGCTTGAACCCTCGCCCACCCATCAGAGACATGTCCCAATGTGATCTGGGGGTT